GTTGAAAATTATTGAAATCGGACTAAAATAACGGCCGCTTCTCATATAACGGTAAATTTCAGAAATGCTTGAAACTTCAATATTTCGAAATCGAAGGACGCTAATTTACTCAAAATTGATACACCATCTAGCGGAAGGTTTCGGAAAGGTGAAAAAACATATATTTAATACTTGCGCCGGGTATTTAATGTTCGGCTCCGCCCGAACTTAGACTTTCTTACTTGTTATCTTTACTTTTGCTTTCACTTTGACTAATTCTGATAACAGTTGATTTGTTTAATTTAAACTCATTACGCATCACTTTAACTGAAACACCACGTTTTAGTTTTTCCATACTGGTAAGTCAAAAAAGGCAAAAAATTCAAATTTTTTGTATGTGGCATGTATCCCAGAAAAATTAGATAAATTTGGTAAGAAATTTTAAAAAACTTTGTAACAGCGATTTTTTTATGCAGTTTACTTTTATTTGACATGTAGATCATGGATCCACAGTCTTGCCCAAGGCATAATAAACAAAGTAGAAGTGATTTTGACATTTCCCTCTTTTGAACACCGACTATATTGTCAAATGATGAATAACTTTTAACCTTTTTCAAGTCGGCATTTTCTATTTTTCATTAAAAACACAATTGCGTGCTGTGAAAAAGTTTTGAATTGTGTAAATTTTTTTGTTTTTCGACCACATCCATTTATAGATTAATATACAACAAGTAATATTTGGAAAAACACCGACTTAAAAAAATATATATATATATCATGATGCAATGATCGGATCTAAACCAAATTAGTATGGGACCACCTATTAGACACTACCTTTCTATTGTAAAAAGAATTATCGAAATCGGTTGACGTGGTCCATAGCAGGGTTGTTGCGAATATTCGCATTCGCAACTGCGGAGCTTCCGCATTAATTTTAACATTCGCATTCGCAATAATCAATGCGGAGCTTTTGCGAATGCGAATATTTTGTAAGTGGACCTATAAAACGTATACATATATGGCGAAACAAAAAATTACATATTGTAGCCAATATTTTAGCCTGTGGTCGTAGGAGTATTTGTGTAACAAAACTGGTCAAATGTTATATATATCAATATATTTGATAAAAATGTCTTCAAAATGTTATTTCTTTAGCTATATAATCGAGCTATCAATGGGCAGCCATAAAAGTTCCCACTTCTACTTGCCCTTTGACGTACGTCAAAGAGAACATGGTCCATTTAATAATATTTTTTTTCTGTGCTTTAAACACCTGCTTTAGTTTCTTTCTTTATTATGATTTTTTTGGACCAATCTTAAAAAAAAACTACTAGACACAAAAGAAGAAAGTGTGCACTGTAATTCTTAACAAAATTTTCGTGATTTGCTTCTGATGTTATAGGCGGCATACACGGTGCGTCTGACTCGTGAGTCGGTTCGGGTGTGTTTGTGAAAATAAATATGTGTTAGTTACACCAACATGACTCCCTGCATGACTCTGAATGATTCAACTGTGTGTAGTCGAAGGCGAGTCAATACGTACACAAATGACTCGCGAGTCAGACGTACCCACCTATGCCACCTATTACATACATTCGTTTGAATAATTTCAAATGAGGCACTTTGGGGAATTTATTTTTAGCAAAAATTTTAAAAACAGTAGTTTTGTTTACTTGTTGGATAATACTTTTTTATAGGGATATATATTGGATCCTTGGCTAAAAACTTCTGTGGTAAAACTGTCGCTTCGTTGCTATTTAAAGTCAATGAGTAAGGGATTTCCAGTAGGAATGATCAACGTCTGGCTATAAAGAGAATCTATGCTCAAATAATTAAAAAGCTATAGGTCTGACCTTTAATTAGATAAGAATTAAGTAACTATTTGTTATTCAAATGCTTATAAAAAACGTGGTGCTTTAAAAAAAAAAATAACAATATTCTGATCCGATTCGGCTGGCAGCCACGATTTCGAAAACAGAATTTTGTTCAAAAATAATAATCTATTTTCCATATGCACCTATTTAGCTCGCTATAAGCCCAAATTTTTCAATGCAGTCGCAGAAGAAAGTATTAAAAATGAATTACAAAAACGAGAATCGAAATGTGCTGATAAAGTCACAGGTTCGCCAAATTCTGAAACAACATGACATATGTATCTGGTTTGGCGTGTAAGCGCTGTTTAAACAACGATCTCACCATTACGCTAGATTCTAATTGGTTTTTAAAAATACTTGACATCCGCATTCGCATCCGCATCCGCGGATGTTAGCTGTTAAATATTCGCATCCGCGGATGTCTAAAATTTCACATCCGCAACATCCCTAGTCCAAAGTGGACATACATAAAAAAAAAAAGAATATTCCGACGAACTGATAACCTCCTCCTTTTTTGGAAGTCGGTTAAAAATGAAAAGAAGCAGGAACTACGAGCGTTGCGCTGTGTGTGGCAAGAGCCAAGACGTTAAAGTGGTGCGACACTTTAAGGCGCCTCGTTGCGAAGTTAGAAGACTTCGTTGGGAGACCAGCTGCGGTGTTCAATTAGAAGATTCTTCCCGTATTTGTGAAAATCATTTCAACGCGAGTGATTTTGTTTCGTGCCCATTGCAGGCAAATATTTTTAAACGCATGCGTTTATACCCAGCTGCAGTTGCCATGCCCTGGGAGGTTCCTGTGCCTGAAATGCCTGAAGCACACGGAAGGTCAGAAGTGACAATATCATCTGTTGATGCGCAGACGCAAACTGAGTTAGGGTCTGATTATGCATACTTCGCATAACTTCGCACAACCATTTGTACCAATGCAATAGAATTGTAACTTAAGAAAATGTGATGCGAAATCTAAACTCAACAGGTCGCTAAGTTATTAAAAGTTCTGCTAATTTCTGGGTAATGGAATACATACAAATTAGATACAAAGTACAGTTTGAAGTTTATGCGAAGTTGTGCGAAGTTATGCGAAGTATGCATAATCAGACCATAAGTCTGCAAGAAATAAGTACTTTCTTACAAAATTATGCTCACATATGCACGTCAGTGCCTAGATTTACACTGATATACACACATGTTTACATACGTATGTATGTGTACATGAATTTGTTTACCAACACGTTTTTTTAATTTTTTATTCAGCAATGGGTAGGTTCAGAAGGCGCAGCAGTTGAGCGCAACCGTTGCTAAAAAAATCAGTGATCGTTATGCGTCTTCTGAACGGCTTGATGCATTAGCTGTCAAATTCAACTCTCAACAACATGTTGTCTCAAATGACCAGAAAAATATTACGACCATCTAACACGCAACTGTTCAGTTGATCAGAAGTACACAACAACGGGTTCAGAAGGTGCAATGGCAACAGTTACTGAGCTGTTGCGCCTTCTGAACGTGCCCAATGATTCCATACAATGTAGTTTCAAAACGGAAATATACCTTCTTAATGAAAAAATTAAGACAATGGAAGACACTATGGCGCATCTTACCTCCCAATTAAACGGGCCTCCTTTAAAAAAAATTTCACTAAAGGGCTTTTAAAAAAAACTCGCTTACCCTGATAAAAAAGTATTTTGGGAGTGGAATGACATATCAGCGGCAATTTGCTTGCACTCCTCTAGACCTAGAGCATATAGGCATTTATATGCGAACGGCTATCCTCTGCCACATATCAGTACCCTTCAAGCATGGGCTCGAAAAATAAGTCTTGAAGAGGGTATTATTCAATTCTCGTTAGACTGCCTTAAGTACAAGAGCGACATGCCAGAAGACGAACGGGATTGTATTCTTTGCTTCGACGAGATGAAAGTGTCAAAATTGTATGAGTACGAGCAAAAAATGAGATGGTTCGAATACCATGCAATTACATGCAGGTTATAATGGCACGGGGATTGAAGGGATCATGGAAAATCCCTATCTTTTTCAAATTTGATTGCAGAATGACGGAAAAAATTATGAGTGGCGTCATCGTTGCTCTGCATGCGGTTCACTTCCCTGTTGTAGGCATCGTTTCAGACATGTTGCCATGTAATACAGCATTTTGGAAAGAGCTTGGCGTCACGAGTAAAATGTTTATTATTATCAGAAAAACCTTGGTGTGTTCATCCAGTCGGACTTGCGGACATACTGCTTGTGCTAAAACTAATTAGAAATCATTTCATCAACTCAGGTTTAGTTATTGATGGGAAAATAATAGCACCTCAAACCATCAAGCAAGTGACCAATATTGTGTCAACCTCAGACGTNGGCACAGTTGTTGGCCCTGGTACAGCACACCAAATGGCCGAAAATTTTTAAAATCGGACAATAACCACGCCCACATCCCATATAACGGTAATATCGAGAAATATGAAATCCTCGATAAATCAGTAAATATTAAAGCTAATTTATTCAAAATTGATGGTTGCAACAATTCTTTATCAGGAAATACGCTTATG